AAATCACAAATTGGCCTCAAGGCAAAAATTTTAGACTATTATCATCATTGGAGGAGGAAAAGATGACATGTGCTGAGGAGCTCCCACCATATATAATCAGCTACCAGAAAATGAAAAGTGATATGCACTCTTTACTGATGGCTGTTTTTAGGAATATGCTGAAAATCAAAAGCTATTGTATGGAGTTCTATGTGATGAGTTACAGCAATTAGACAAAGTGGATCTAGGCTGCAGAGTTGTTAGATGTCCAGCTGGCTTTAGATTTTTCTGAATGAGACAAATTGCCAGCGCTCTACCTCTACACTGATTTGTGGATGGTAACAAATGCTCTGTGAGGGTGGCCCACAGACCAATGGAAAAAGACCAGTTGGATGTGTGGAGTAAACCCATCTGGACTGCTGAAATGTGGCAAGACCCTGCTGCCTGGCTTGTAAAGCTAAGTCATGCAGATGCAAGTATACCCAAGAATAGGGTTACTGAAGAGCAATGCAACAATGGATGAGTGGATTGAGCTGCCAAGATTAAAGTGTCTCAGGTGGAACTGAATTGGCAGAATAAAGGTGTATTATTTCTGGCTTGGTGGGCCCATGATACCTCAGGTCATCAAGGAAGAGATGCAGCAGGGAGGAGATGGGCTTGTAACTGAGGGTGGATTTAACCATGGATCCTATCTCTCAGGTTATCCACAACTGTGAAATATGCACTGCAGTCAAGGAGGCCAAGTGCATAAAGCCTCTGTGGTATGGGGGGACAATGGTTGAAATATAAATATGGGGAGGCCAGGGAGATTGTTTACAATACACTTGCTCAAACCCACTAGGTAGTATGTACTTACAGTAGTGGAAACAACCACTGGATATGTGCTCACTGCCTGTAATGCCATCCTGGGCCTTGAAAAACAAGTTCTGTGGCAACATGACACCCCAGAAAGAACTGAGTCAGACAACAGGACTAATTTTAAAAATCACCTCATAGACACCTGGGACAGAAATCATGGTATGGAGTGGGTGTATCATATTCACTATCACGCACCAGCCTGTAGGAATATTGAATGGTAAAACGGGCCATTAAAAAACATGCAGAAAGCAATAGGTGGTGGGATATTCAAGGATTAGGATCTACATACTGTGGAGGCCATCTGGTTAGTCCATACTAGAGGCCCTACTAATTGAGCTGCTCCTGTGCAATTAAAACCTCCACATACCATATAAGGGGGCAAAGTCACTGTGGTGCATATGAGGAATATGTTTGGAAAGAAGTTTGGCTTTGGCTGCTTCAAGCACATGTGGGATTGTTTTGCTGAAGGATCTGGGTGCACTTGGTGTGTAATGCAGAGTGATAGGGAAACATTATCTTGAAGGGAGTTGATTTCTGGGTGAGAACAGTCTGTAACGTTGAATTGTATGATACTGGCTGCTGAATGACACTGCCACTGTATGCCATAAGCACCATGAACAGTGGATATAGACTGTTCCAGATGTATCAGTTGTGAGCTCCTGATGCATCTTGCACACACCCAACAGCACACCAGCCCTCCTGCCCTTGAAGACATCTAGGACGGATAGAATCAACAGTTATGGACTAAATCAACTCAACAGATGTCTTGGAGGGATGGCCATTGACTACAAAAATTATAATAGTGCTTGTAAATACATACAGATATATATATTTTCTCTAAAACAATATAAATATATAGTTGGAAAGTGTAAGATCTGGGCATAATGCAAATGGTACAGAAGAAGGAGTGGGTACTGTTCTGGTTCAAACAGGACAGGGTAATTTTTACAGCAGCCAGAGGAGGGATGGCTAGGACCTGGAGGTTATTCTATACCACTTCACATAATTTTCCTGAGATGGGGGAAGGGCTTTCTTCTGGGTTGGGATAGTGTGGCAGCAGTCAGGTTGGGCTCCATGCTGAGCATCTGCAAGTGAATCACTTGCTGTTCTTTGTACAATTTTGCTATTCATATTGTTGCAATTATGGTTTGTTTTCTTACCTCATTGCTGTTTCCAAGAGATTGTTCTTAATTCTGTATCTTTTTTTATGCCTTCAATTCTCCTTTCCAACCTTTCACGGCAGAGGGAGTGGAATGGGAAATAGGGAGTGAGCAAGTAGTGAGTTTTAAAGCTTTTAGTGGGAGCACTAAATTGGAGAATACTGTCCCTAAACCATGATATTGAGAACTACTACTAGCCAAGGGGACTATGGTTGTAAGGAACCTGCTTGACCTAGGATTGGAAATGTATTTCCTTATGGTCACTTATTGCAGATCCTTTCCTTTCCCTTCTGCTAAGCGTTCTTCAGAGACATAAAGCCTGACTTAACCTATATTAGAAAAGATCCCCAGCTCTGTTGATTTCCCAGTATTTTTAGATGTGGCATGGCATAGGTCTTGATACATCAAGTGACCATGCTGTAGATATGAAAGATTCTAAGTAAAAAATCAGGTTTTTTTATACTCAACATGTTTGAGCATCTCTTAAAGCAAACCTTAATTAATTAGTTCTACAAATGCATTTTAGCTAGCCATGAGGAAGCTGCTCAAACAGCTTAGAAACCAAGTGTCTTTCTGAGCAGTCACAAAGGCAGGCAGGTGTTCTTTCCAAGATAATTAGCCACTGTGGTTTTTATAAGGTCTAAGGAGTGAGAGAAGAATTATGAGTTGGCAATGAGTTGGCATTTTTTTTTCTGAGTGACACAGCTGACACAGTAAAGGAATGTTACTTAGAAATATTTCTGTGTTTAGTTTGTGTTTTACCCTGATATTTGTATATCAGGCTCCTAACATAAATCAGAATTGTTCTACAATAGAAGGATACTATTGCTTGTTGTTCCACACAAAATCCTAACAGAAAAGATGCACCCCTTTTATGTATGTTATATTAACAAAAATAAGAATTCAGCTCTGATACCCACAGAAGCCTTTCTCTGCCTATGTTTCCTGAATATTTTAGCTTCTATTTGACATTAGTCAGAACACTGGCAAGAAGTTCAGCATAATTATAATGACCTGCTAATTTAGGTAAATTATTTTACAGTATATTTAACAGGCTGTTTAAATTTGAATGCTCTGTGGAAATACTGCAGCTGTGTCATCCTATACATATCTGCTCAACAGAAAGCAATGTTATAGAGTGACTGAATTAAAATAACAGGCCTTTTGGACCGTGTGACTTGAAAAACTGGAAAACTGGGAAATATGGGGTTATAACACTTGATCGTCTACCATCTTGTGATTCTAGAAAAGGACTTTCACTTCTGAGGGCTGGTAGGGATGTTTGGATTTATGTAGTTAAAATGTAAATGTAATCTAAAGGTAATGTGAAATGTTATATTCACAGCATCATAGAATACCAGGTTGGAAGGAAGCTGAAGGATCATCTGGTCCAACCTTTCTCAGCAAAAGCACAGTCTAGATGATTCAGCACCTTGTACAGCTGAATCTTCAGAGTGTCCAATGCTGGGGAATCCACCACTCCCCTGGGTGGATCATTTTAGTAGCTGATCTCATTGGGAAATTTTTTTGTCCTGTGTATAATCAGAATCTCTTCAGGAGTGACTTGTATCCATTACCCCATATCTTTCCATGTGCCTCCTTGTAAAGTGGGGGTCTCCATCTTCTTTGTAGCCACCCTTTAAATACTGGAACCTGGTGATAAGGTCTCTTTTAAGTTTTCTTTTCTGAAGGCTTAACAATTGCAGCAAGGGCTGCAGTTCTCTCAGCCCTTTCTTACATGACAGGCTTCACAGTTGCTTTATCATCTCTGTAGCCCTTCTCTTGACACTCTCCAGCCTATCCACTTTTTTTTTCGCATGGGAGGACCAAAACTGAACACTGTATTCCAGCTGTGACCTGGCAGATGCTGAGTAGAGTGGAATAATGATTTCACTATCTCTGCTGGTGATGCCCTTGTTGATGCAACCCAAAATTCTGTTGTTTTCTTCACCAGAGCACCACATTTGTATTAGCTTTTAGTCCAACAGGAACCTCAGGTCCTTTTCCACAGAGCTGTTCCTCAGTTGGGTTGTTCCCAGCCTGTGTTGTGATCCTAGATTATGTTTTCCCAGGGGTATCACCTTACATTTGTCCCTGTTGAACTTCATAAGGTTCTTGTAAGCCCAGTCTTCCAGCCTATCCAGCTCTACCTGCAGGATGACTCTCCCCTTAGAAGTGTTCCATTTCCCACTTGGTTTGGTACCATCAGCAAACTTCACCAGGGTACACTTGATCCCATCATCCAGATCATTTGTAAAGATATTAAACAGCATTGGGTCCAGTATTGAATACTGGAGTATCCCACTTGTGACAGGCTGCAAGTTTGAAAAGACGCTACTTACCACCACTTGCTGACAGACTGGGACCTGTCAGTCAGTTCCCCACCTGCTGCATGGACCACTTGTCTATACTATAATGCATCAGCGTCTTTAGGAGGAGGCTATTGGAAACCATATAAAAAGTCTTGGAGATATCTGGGTAGACAATGTCCACAGCTTGTCCCAACATCAGCCAAGCAGGTTACTTTCTCATAGAAAACTTAGTGTTTTCTTTGGAAAAAATTACTAATCTGCATCCAGCCAGTCTTATATAAAAGACATACAAAGAACTGCAAGCCCTGAAAAATCAGTCCTGACAGTGATGTTTGCTCATCAAAGATTTGCTCTGAGAACTGAGCTCTCTGGAGAACTGCAGTGAGAAGCATTCTTGTGCTCAAGGGGTTTTTAGTTGATGCATAGAAGTACTAAACAAGCAGGGAAAGGTCTAATGAAAAGTCACTGGAATCAAGATGCTTAATTCACTAAGTTCTCCTTGGACTATAACTTTTCCATCGAGACTCAAATTCTCCACAATTTATGCTAAAAACCCCCAATCTAAACAAAATCCAAACTTAATTAAAGAAAGTAAAATGAAAGGCTTTTACAGTCATGACATAATATAGTGTCTTGTAAAAGTGCAATGTGTCTTGTCTTTTTAAAATTTCTTCTCAATTTTTTTCTCCAGGGTGACAAGGAAGCAGAACTAGGGCTGCCCTTCTCTCCTCTATGTGATCGGACATCTACTATGGTTGCTCAGTCTCAAATAGGTATGTCCCTTTTGGTGCATACGAGGTAGCATCTTAAAAGAAAAACTTCATCTTCTCAATAGTACTAAGATCCTAGTAATATAATTTGGAATTATGTTAAAGAGAGGAAATAAGGCACAATGGCATTATTTTCCCCAGATCAACAATTCAAAGAGGAGCCATTAAATTTATGGTGATGGTTCCAATACAGTATTCAAACTACCTCTGATGTGTTTGCAGAAATAACTACAGTACCTGGTTATGACACTCACTCCATGATTTTGTGATTTGTGAAGACAGGGCACACATGAGAATATCATGTGAATGAATGTCATTGGTGTATATGAAAATGTAATGTCAGTTCTTTTGATGACCTGGACAAAATATTTTATTCCTTTCACCCTTTCCCTCCCGATGCTTTAAACCAAACATTATTTTTCACTGAAGCCAAGCAACCAGCAAATCTTTTTCTGTGCCACCAATTCAGAAAAAGAGACCTTTTTACAGAGTCGCTAACAGCACTTTCTCTACCTCTTCTTCAGTTACTGAGTGAAAAAGTAGGGGAAGCATGAGGCAACAAGCCTCACATTTAGTGAAAGAACAAGAGGGGCTAGTAAAACTATTCAGGGGGCTTGGTACAATGAAGAGAACATGGAAAAGGTGGATTTGTGGGTGGATTTTATACCTTTGAAGTAAGTGAAGAAGATAGATGAACATGTTCCAGCCTCAACTGGAGTATAGGTAGCTAAATGGAATGAAAAAGGAAAGATAACATGGATGCTAAAATTGAGAGAACTGAAAAAACCAGAAAGATAGAAAACATATTAAAGAAAGCAAATAAAAATTTAAAGCAAGAAATTTCTCTCAAATAATGAAACAAAGATTTCCCTGAATCTAGGAAACTAGAAATTCATATCTTTGGCTAAGAGCTATTTCTGTTTAAAATTATTTCATTGTTCCTGGTAAGCAAGCCATTATCTCAGAGAGAGCATCCCAGACTTTCCTGGCTTTGGAAATTTAGACATTTCACCTAAGAATCTGAGTTTGAAGAGCCCTATACAAGCCTGGCCTGGTTACCAGGCTTGTAGATTTACTCCTCTGGAACAATAACCTACCAGAAATTGTGTGTTCAGCCAGTAGCTCAGTGGAGGAAAGCAGCAACAAACTTGAAGTGCTACAGTTTCAGCTGAAACCCATGTTGAAGACTCCTAGACATAGGCTTGTTGCTGTGCTGCAGGAGAAAAAAAACTCTCCCTCTCTGGTTGATGTGAGAGCAGTTACAGGTAGATACTTCTCTTACACATCTGTTTTATCAGCTTTCAGATATGTTCCTCACTCCTTACAGGGAAGAGGAGTTTTGCTTTCCCCTCTACATAGCGTTGTGTATGCTTGGGAACCCGTTTTCCTGGTCCTCTCCTTTTGGGCTCTTTTGCTCAGGAAGACCAGAAGAGGAAAGAATCTTCTGTTCTGATGCCCCTTGTGTCAAGCTACTGCAAAATTATTGTTATATTAAACCATCAGAAATACTATTTACCTTAGAGGCACTTGTCAGTAGGCAAAGGCAGGCTTATTTAGTCATATACTATTTCATTTGTACAGTTTAGTAATCCATTGACATTAATAGACTACTCTTTATTTTTGCCTTCTACCATTATAAAATTATTAATTTCTCAGTCTGCTGCACTTTTTGACAGTGTCTTTCTTTATGTCCCTTTTGTTAAATTGCAACCACCTGTTTTCTGGCTATCTGCTGAGATAAGACTTTCAAAGTTGTAGGCTAGATTCTCAGACAAATAATCTCCTTTCATTTATTTATTTATCCAATTCATAGTCTCAAAAAATGTTTCCTGGAATAGTAATTACATTTCTTTGCAGAAGTAAGTTCTTACTGAATTCCAAATTGTGCTATTATATGGTTGGACTTGACGATCTTAAAGGTCCTTCCAACCTTAGTGATTCTATGACTGTCATCTGCACTAAGCACTGCCATCAATTCTCATAAATTAAAAACTTTTGTTCTTAGTGAAATATAATTTTGCTTTTGGTTCTATCAAGGACACAGTCTAGAAATTGTGTTCTAGTGGCTCAATTTGTTTGTAGTTGCTGGTTTGCTGCTGTAAGGTCACTGTAGATGCAACAACAGTGGGCACACATTTTCACTAATTAAAGATTCTCACAAACACAGATGGCAGGTTTTGGCAGTATGGTTTATGAAATTAAGCAATCCAACAGAATAAAAAAACTCCTCAAAGGAAAGAACGTGTTTCTCCTGTTGTGTCAGGTTATGAAAAAATTGTTCAGTTTAAACTGATAAATAAAAACCCCATGAATATAAATTATTGAACTTTATTTTGAAAACCTATTAATGTTAACAATGATGACCAATTTACCATCCCTTTTCTTATTCAACAGAATGAGTATGGCAAATGTTTCTGTACTATAGTGAAGTACAAAAACTGGGAGAGTTATGTTTGGAAGTCAAGCTGCTTGTTCAGAGTGGGGGAGAGAAAAAAACTGCAAAGAAAACCAGACCAAGACTTTAATATTTTCCAACAAGCATATCAGGAGCTAAAACTTCTCTGGCTCAAACTCTAGGAAACTTGTGTAACTGAAGATCAGGCTTTATTGTCATTGTCCTCTTTCACAGCTGATATATGCAAGAGTATGATTTTTTTTTTGTCCTTTTACTATCAAGAAATAAAAACGCACTTTCAGAAAACAGTGGATGAAGGCTAATGAGTGCATGCTGCTGGTTTTTTGTTTTATGGTGAACTTTAAAGAAACTGTCCTCTACCCATTTTTTTCAATGTTGATGCTCACAGGTATAGCGAGTGAACACTAGGCATATGCCTGGAATTCACTCTTAGCATGCAGCATTAACTGGTAAAATCATCTTAGTCTCTAGCATACAGAAGTGTTTATCATGTTCATTCTGTTGAAGGAGAAAAAGGATGATAAACTGGTCATTACCATTAATAGGCTTTTAAACTCAGGCTCATTTGATATTCAGGGTTTTAAATAGCAAACTAAATTACTGTATTTAAATCTCAGTGTCTTCAGGTAAAAAGGAAGAGGAAACAAGGAGAGCAAAGCATGTGGGAATACGGCAAAAGTTACATAATGCTTAATAAAGTCCTAATTTTTTTTATACAATGGCAGATTATGATTCCAACTTTATTATAATCCCTATTTTGAAGTAACATAGTTGAATAACTTATTAATGTTACAGGTAATACAGAAAAAAAATGCCACTTACCAAAGAAAAGTTGTCCTATGTATTTGAGTTTGTTTACCTGTGGTCCCTTTTGGGACCTCTGCTCACCTTTGTTGATGAGATGCAAGACCTCTCACGGGGAAAACTTGATTCTTAAACACAAATGTTTAACGTGTTTATGTGTAACTGTTCAGTATCTCACGAAACAGATCCCACCATCCTGCTGCTGAAGTTAGTGACACATTCATCTGTCTGGTATCAGAGATTTGCATGTCTCAGGGTTTTTAGTGGTGAAGGAGCAAATGGCAGTGGTATTACTTGCTGAGCAGCATGACAAGGTACTATGACTTGGGTTTTTTTGGTCATTAAGAGGTAAATAATTTTTGAGTGAAGGAGAATAGAAGAGACATATAGACAGCCAGACACACAAATGCCACAAATGCATAAATCAAGTTCTCATAATCCTTTAGGATTCCCGTGGCACGTTTAACACTGTTATAAGTTGGTTGCTTAAAAAAATTACATTAATTTTGCTGGGACTATCTGCATTGTGGTCTAGCATACAATTTTCTGTTCAAGCTTTATACTGCATGCATTTCTGATTAGCTACCTGGAATTCTTTTTTTCTAAATTTTAGTAGATAAGACTGATACAGTGTTATGCAGGCACATGATTGACATGTTCAGATAAGACTGCATGTGTCCCCAGATTTACAGACTATAATGTAAAAGTAATATTTTTTATTTGATTGTCATGAAAATACACCTAATTATCCATCCTTTTCAAAATTTAGCAAAAAGATGGGGAGGGAAATGGAACTAGGAGGATGCTCAACTGCTTTGCACTCAAGATGTAGATTGAAGCATGAATTCAGGTGCCTGAACCATATGATCACTTCTTTTGTTATTCATGTTATGATCAAGAATCACCAGTAGCATAGAAATATATCATGACTTGCCCAGAAAAATTAAAATATTGTTAATGAAAAATTAACTGTTAAAAATTTAAAAATATCTAAAATTTGTAATAGTGGGGGTTTTAACAGTAGCAATTGTAACCTGAATTCCAATGTGCCTTAGGAGGGATCAAGGACTTTGTTGTTTTCTTGGCTACCTACAGCACTAAGTAATTTCATAAATGAAGTACTGAAAGAATTAGGGAAATATGTAAGCTACTCCCACATTTTATTCATGTAGCTTGGGTTGGAAATGGAAGATGTGGCTTGGGGTGTGTATTCTATTGCCATCTGTTAGAGGTGGGGCAGTTAACTTCTGTTAATTTGACCACCTGTTAAAACCAGGTGGGGCAGTTTTCTTTATCTCTTCCACAACCAATCCTCCCTCCAGAAAATATCTTCTGTTAATGGACCATTGAGTCTTACTTCGTGACTGATAAAATTACATCATCCCATTGTGAAATGCCCCACCCAGGGGGAGGAGCCAAGCATTCCTACCTGGATATAATCTGAGATTTGAAACACCAGAGTCAGCCTTTCCACTGGATTCCCAGAGAAGCAGCTTTCTTTTCCATTGGATTCCCAGAGGAAGACCAGGCCCATCTTCACCACCACTGGATCTTCAGAAGAAAACTACACCCTTCTACAGGATCACTGCTTTCAAAAGAACCATATCTATCACTCCAAGATAACTGCAGCCACCATTTAATCAGACTACTACCACCACCCTGACTGACAGTGAGTCAGGTCATATTCTGACTCTGTCAGTGTTGTTTTGTATTACAGCATTTTTATTTCACTTTTATTTTTTCCCTGATAAAGAACTGTTATTCCTACTCCCATATCTTTGCC